GCTTTATGTGGATCATGAACACTCAGAATACTGCCAGCACATAGTGAGTACTTTAGGTGGATCATGAGCACTCAGAATAGTGCCAGCACATAGTAAGTGCCAAGTAAAAGTTACCTTGTCTTATTTAACCCTTACAACTACTCTATTAAGTAAGTACTATTAGTGTTAATACCCTCTTTTCATAGAAAAATTAATTACTGAAGCTTAACAAAGTTATATGACTTGTCTTAGTTTAGCAGACTAGTCAAGAGGACTGGGACTCAAGTGCAGGTCTGAGAGACTGTTGTTACCCCTACGAAAGTCTGAGATGGGTTTTATTTAGGGTATTCCTTTCCAGGACAGAATTAAGAATAGCACTTTTTTTATGGCAGAGAAAGGGAGAGTTACACCTTAAGTGCTGAACTGTTTTAAGTTAGGACCCAGTATACTTGTTGACCTTGGGGTCTCAGTCCTAGGATGTTCATTGTCAATTCACAGCCTCCTATTTTGTAAGCAGAGGACTCTGGAGGGCCTCCCTACATCCTTTCTCTTGCAAGTGGAAAGCAAAGACAGGACTTAATCCAGTGGAAGGAGTTCCTAATGGTGCCTTGGCTTTAATACAGATACCCAACCACCTGGGGGTTCCAATATATCTAAATAGATACATATACATGTATATGTATGTATCTCAATAAAAACAGGTAATCAAAAACTTATCTACCACTTTCTCTACTAAAAACAATACCTGTTTGTATTCATTTATCTTCTTTTTTCTCTTAAGATTTCCAGTATCCTCTCACCTTAGAGCTTTTTGAAGGACAGCATTGGTATTCTTTTATGGTACAGTTGAAGCTGATTGAGTATCTATACATAGTAAGAATCAAATTTAATGTAGAGTAGGTTTGCTCTTCTTTCTACATTTATGCTGTTCCTTCTGCAACACCAAGGCTGAGAATTATAACCCAAGAAAAAGTGAAGATGGAAATTGAAAGTTGTTCAAAACTAAGCAGATTCCATTAACAGAAGCTACAAGAACAGATGCTACTTGGTAATCCAGTGAAAGCTTGAACAGGCAGAAAAGTTTGGTACCCAAACTACTTAGCTTTCCTTCTTATAATGGTAACTTGTGTTACGTGTTGCGGCTCTCTGGTTCGGATTTTTTCCTGAAACCTAGCCTCTGAGGTATCACTTTGTTTAAGTTCTCAACCTTTCTGAGCCCACACAGTTTGAGAATTTATCGTCAGACTATCGCGTTCCCTTGTCCGTCCATCTTACACTTTCTAATGAACTGTTTGCAGCTTTCAGACTTGGTCTATACACTGGCTTTCTCTTGTGGCTTCTGTAGAAAGGTATGCAGAACTTAAACATTAACCCTAATTACTTTGTTCTCCCAATGTTTTCACTGAGCCAAGAAGTCTTCATTTTGTTAGGAAAAAACCATATGACCCTTATATTTCTGTGTCTTTTTTGTTTGTTTGTTTCATGTACTATTTTTCAGTTTTTTTTTTTGCTACTTTGCATGATGATTCATCCTGGCTTTTCTCACTGTCTTCAATTTATGACGTTCTTTAAAATGGTCTGCTCTTCCGCTCTCAGGGATTCTGATTGTGTTCTTTCCAGGAAGATATCGCAGGAGCCATATCACACCTGTCCCTCAGGGAGATCCCAGCTGCAGCCCAGCCTTTTGTATCATCAGAAGAACGGAAGGAACGGTGGGAACAGGGCCAGGCTGATTATATGGGAGCGGATTCCTTTGAAAATATCAAGAAGAAACTTGACACTTACCTCCAGTAGAAACACTGCCATTTTCCTGTGGACACGTCCACTTCACAGCCACTTGTTTCTGATACTTAGTATCTAGAGCTGGGTGGAGAAAAGTCTGTTACAGTTGCTAGAGGCTTTCACTAAAACTCATCAGATGAGGGGTGTTTGCAGGACAACAGGTAAGAGAACTGGGCAAAAGTTGTAAAGTAGCAATTCTGCTATATGGACAGTGTTCTGCTTTTTAACCTAGATTTAGCTCATGTTCCAGCTAGCATACAAGGAAGGGAAACTTAGTAGTAAGCTGTTAACATGTCTGTATCAACTCTTAACTGTGCAAGACCAGTCTCTCAGTCTCTCCCTTCAGAATAGAGCATGGCCTCTGTCCCTTGCTTCTTGTACCCTTCATTAGACCTGCATTTTAGAACTGCTGAGTGGCTGCCAGTGGTTGTAATTCTGCTTTCAGGTACAGACAGCCTATAGTAACACTGCTTGATTCATAAACATATCCACGAATGGTGTTAACTCACTTTATTTCCTAGTCTTAGTGACTAGAGATGTTCACCAGTTTTCTATGTACAGCAAGGCAACATGCTAAAATGCTTTTTGTTCAGTTCTGTATATTTGAAAATAGTGTGTGCTCTGATGGTTACCTGCAGTGGCACCCTGTATGAAAAATAAAGATGTATTGCTGTATCTTGGTTGTTTAATTAAATTAAGGATTCCCCTATGTACGAACATACCCTTAGGGAAATTTTCTTAATTTGTAGCATTTGTCATAGTTTTAAAAACCATTATAAAGCTTGATCCTGGGTATATGCCTTAAAAATTAGAATCTAAGAGATTTAAATCTAATGTTCTCCAGGGATGGTGATGGATCTGATAGACTAGAAGAAAGTTAGATCCATTTATCTAGTCTGTCATCCACACTGTACCTCATGTTAATACCCTTAATACCTTCATACCCGTATTAAGTGGGTATTCAAATAATTAGAATATTGTAACCTTAACATCATCGTAAGTTCACTGTCAGCCTCTGAACGTACTCAGTAATCCTTCTGGTCTGTCAGAGCGAGTACTGGACTCAACGCCTTCTGGTATTTTTATCCATGGTTTAAAAATGATAGAGTGGAGTTGTAAAACTTATTAAATTCATAGATGATTCTAGGTTGCAAGGGAGGGGAAACTAGAGAAGGGTAGGATCCAAAATGACCTTTAAAACATTAAAATGAGTAAGAAACAGTTCTGTTAGAAGAAAACAGGAGAGTAGACTACAATGGAAAAACCTTGGAAGGTTTGGGCAGAAGCTTCGTGGCAGTGGTGACCTAGCTTTTGAGTCACCCTCCATCACATTTCTACAATATCCTGTTGGTAACATGGGTCATTCATATTGGCATAAGTGAATACACAAAGGTATGGATACTTGGAGGCAAGAATGGTTTGGAGCCACCTAGAAAGCTGACTACGATGAGCTCAAAGAACCTGAGGATTCGCCTAAAACTATAAAATATTAGATGACAAATGATTTCTGATAAAATAAACGTAGTTTGAACTGATGGGAAAGAGTTGCTGGGATTGCAGTGAAGCATACACCAAAGATTTACTCTGTGCCTCCAGGTATCAGGTAGGTGCCGTGGTACGAAGATCTCTCAAAATAATTTTAGCGGTCAGAAGCTTTTTTGGCTTCTGAGTCCCTGGTAGAGATGCTCAGAAACTTAGTCTTCAGAAAAACAACACTGCCTTATTTTTCTGGCCATGATATACTGTTAATTTTCGGTATTTACTACTTTTGATTCCCTATTTTTCACATAGTAGTAAGAATAAAGCTTACATAATTTTTTAAATTTAAATAAGTATTTAGTGAAGGCTATTAACTTTTAGAATCAGAAATAGTGACAAGTTTACCAATAAAACATATGATGTACAGAAAGGTGTCGAATTGTGTCTGGGAAGTTACTGAATTGAGTTAGCAAGTTCTTCTGATCTTTTAAGAATGTATCTTAATTAAAGTATTAACTTTTCTATGCACAGTAGTACTAATTATACTGTAAAATCCTTTCCAGGGAGCCCAGAACAGAAGGGTTATTTAGTAAGATGTATTTTTTAAAAAGTAATACAAGATACTTATTTGTGGAGGTCAATCAATATATACTTCTTTTTACATCCTCGTGAACGATGGTTGGAATAATCTTTAGACAGACTTGCCCCCCACAGGTCAGATCTGTGCCTTTTTAGCTTAGCTGCATGTTTGATCATGGTCTGTGATTTATGCATAAAGTGAATGTTTCTCCTGTATTTTCCTGTTATTATACCTTTTGAAAATATTTGAAAATCAATGCATTAAAAACTGAAGGTAAAACATTTGTGTTGTGGTTATGAGCCAAACATTAAATCTGTCCTCATATTTTTAATGAATCTTTTCCAAATGCTAGTGATTAGAAATTTGGCAAGATACAAGAGAATATAATAATGTCTTTGGCACTTCCCAGCACTACCTGAGGATACTTCATTGGTTACCCTCTGGTTAACTATATAGGATCATTTTCTTGACTGGAAATAGCTAATTCTAGAGCTTTAATTTTAAAGGTAAAAATCTACAATGATAGACATTGCACCTATGTGTAGATAGGTGTTATCACAACTTTTTTGGTTTTTTGCAGATAAGGAAATTAATTAGAACCAATGTTTTTGTGCTGTGGCATCATAGGTCAAGGATTTTAAATAAACACTGATTTCTTGAACTCAGAATTCAACAAATTAGAAAATGGGATATGAGTAAATTATTCTCAATTATAGTACTTTTATGTACTGCCAGTAAAAATTATGTAATATAAACACCTCCTAAGAAATGAGATTTAACTAAAGATTTCCTTTTTTTTTTTTTTTTTTTGAGACAGAGTCTCAAAGCTGTCGCCCTGGGTAGAGTGCTGTGGTGTCACAGCTCACAACAACCTCAAACTTTTGGGCTTAAGCAATTTTCTTGCCTCAGCCTACCAAGGAGCTGGGACTACATGTGCCCTCCACAATGCCTGGCTATTTGTTGTTGTTGTTGCACTTGTCATTGTTGTTTTAGCTGGCCTGGGCCAGGTTCAAACCCACCAGCCTCAGTGTATGTGGCCAGCGCCCTAGATACTGAAGTAAAGATACTGAACTAAAGCCAGGATTTATTTTCTTTAAAGAGAAAGAAGTCATTCAAATTATGGCACTGAGGAAGCTAATAAACTTTTGAAATTTTTATTCATTTAGAAAAAAAAGTCCAGTTCTCAAACGCAAGTGGGAATTCCACTTTTTCAGTATATTTCTAAAGCTATTATTCTATGCAATAAAAAAACAATTAACAGTATAGCATAACATAAAGTTTTCATTCCAGTGGTTTATATATTTTCTTAGAACAAATTAAATTTTTTAATTTAACATCTAATAAAACTGTACAAAACAAAGCTTTTTGTATTTAATGACTTGCCAAATTTATGAATGTGTTTAAAAACACAACTCCATAAATGTCTAGGTAAAGATGCAAGTTGTCATCTTCACCTTTACAGTGAGTTCGTAAAGTTTTGCCTTTGTAACCAAGAGTAAATTGTGTTATTTGCCAAAAACTGTTTATAACTCAATCTCACTGAAGCACTGGTATAGGGAGAAACCCATATTCTGATCTACCTGATTTTTGTGTGTGTAATGCTAGACTACAAAATAAAGAACTTCCATACTGCTTCTAATAATGCCAGTGGACCAACCCCAAATACAATGAGAGTATTCCATTCTCATCCCTGACAAAAGGTCTTCGTCTCAATGAATATCAATATCGTTGTTGCCAAGGGGTAAGTCGCAGGGAGGCAGGGACTCAGCTGGTGAGAGATTCGGCACATAGCTTACATATGCACCTGTAACACAGCAATGCCTCCAATGTCATCTTTCAATCAAAATTAACCTGTATCATCAAGAAGCTTCAAACATGAAGCTTCTCTTGTTACAGTAATCTTTCTTTGGATTTTAAAAAGAAAAAGTTTCCCTTAATAAAACCACTGACTGCCTTACCTGATTTCTAAATTTCTAGCTTATTCATTTTAAGTATGACTCAAAGTCATCTAGAATTCTGTGGAAACTTTTGTGAGGCTGCTTATTAATGAAAGAGAAAAAGATGACTTATTCTATAGACAGATGTAAGGATGAGTTACTGAAGTTACAAAATCATACTCTGAATCTTGAACACATAACAAATTTTTACATTCAGGATTAAGATGTCTTTTGAGTTGAAACGACTTTGGAGGTCATCCAGCCAAACTTCCATCCAGATTATCACGCCTCTCACATATAGTAGTCTTCTGAATTATAAAAATTTATAAAGTTATTTCCAAATAAAAGCTACATAAATAAAAATTATTTATAGAAGTTATCTATTTAGCAACTCCATAATTTAAACATTCAAATCAAATTGGGTAGAACTGGTTTCCTCTCCCACCCCCAAACTATATATCAAGTTATATTTAAACAATAAATGTAAGTACCATTTGACTAAAATAGATAAAACAGTGCTATAACATAATCCCTAATTTTTTAATGAACATAAAATTGCAAGTCACTTATGTGAATTATATCTCAATACAGCTGTTTAAAAAACACTGCAAATAATTTGCAAATCTAGACTTTGGTCTCTCATTTAAGGTTTGGTTCTGGAATGCAAATAGGTTTTTGAAAGTCCAGTAAAACCAATCTCTGTATATTGTTTACAAGGACTGTATATCCACTGCATCACAAGTCAGTGGCTGTGGTAAATAATTATGTCCAACCCAGAAAATAACTATTTGGCTAAAAGTACTTCTTTGACATATGAAAAAGCTGAGTTCTTGGAAGATACATGAACATACTCAGCATAGGTAACTATGAAAAGCTGAACAACAAAGTAACTTTCTTCCTCAAAAATTTTAGGCCATAGTATAGAATGAAACTTATTGCTATTTGAAGTATCCTTAAAAATAGGTTCATATATAAAAGCCTGTGTCAGTAATCCCTCTTCACTAATACAAAACAACATGCCCCTTTGACAAGACATATCTCATAGATCTCACTTCTCAAACTCTATATTTTTCTCATCACCAAAACTTACGTATCTGATCAAACTGACCTTACTAAAGTCCCACAAATTATAAGTCAATTAAAGTTCTGATTTCATTAATTTTAGCTTGTTTCATTTCATTAGCATTTGGTTTTTTAGTTCCAAAGGCTCCTGCTGCAAGTTCTCTCTTTGTATTTTGTATTTGCAGCATATTTTCTTCAACAGAGTCCTTCACAATGAACTTTAAAAAGAAAAAAAAAAAAAGAAGTTGTTAAATAGGGTAAGTGCTTTTTAGGGAGCAATACTTAAAAATCTTTAATGTTAAAAAAACCCTACTAAGGCAACTAAATGCAAAATTACTGAGAAGCATGAAGGATAAATATGCTAACAACAATGCCCATTATAAAACAGAAGAAATGAAAATGAGAAATAATGTTAGTTTCCCAGAAAGGAATTAGTGTCTTTGAAGTATTATTCTGCATAGCTTTTTAGAATGTGCAATAATTAGAAACTGTTTAGATCCTCTCTTCTTTTCAGTATATAGTGAGAATATTTGGAACATGATATTATTATAACTAGACCTAAGCTCTGCTTTCCTTTGTCAACCAATACAGTTTTCTTATATAAACTATTTGGCTATAAGGACAGGAGTTATATATCCCCAGATAAGAACAGCCAAAAGAAGCAAACTATACAGCCCTCTCTGGCAAAATGAGTTTTAGCATTATAGGAAAAAAATAAAAATGAGAAATTCCCAGAAATGCAAGAATGAGTTTTTATCAGTATAATGTGTAACACTAACAAGGAAAAAAAGTAATCTCATTATTCCTGATAAAAATCTTGATTAAAAAATCCTCATTTACCCAGGAATAAGAGGAACATCTCAACTTCAGTAAGGGTATCTACTAAAAACTTAAGAACAACACTGTTAATGTACACCAATAAAAGTGTTCACACCAAACACAAAATGATTTGGTCAAGAATCAAACTCCAAAAAGCTATGTTAGAAAACTACTGAAATACATAAGATACAAATAAATGTAGTGAGATACTATCCCATGTTCTCATATGGAAATGTTCTTATTTATAAAGATAGTTCTCAAAGTAATAATATAGTAAATCTCAAATAAGATTTCTTAAATAGGAAATCCAAGGTTCAAGAGTAATAACCGGTGTAATTTTTTAAAATAAGGGTAATGAGAATGCTTTATCTTCTGAGGTATCAAAACATACTTTAAAAAACCACAATTATTATATGAGTAATACTGTCCTGAGAATAAGAGAACAAAACAGTCTAGAAATATAATGTATATATTTAAAACATTAATATACATTAATTTATGATAAAAGATTTCATAGTAGGAAAAAAGGACCCTTTTCAAAAATGTGACAGAACAAATCATTCTTCATTTGAGAAAATAAAATTTAATTCTGTATCACAAGTCATAAAAAGTAAAATCTTCCAAAAGAATAAAAAATAAATACAAAAGAATAGTTTGAAAAATTCAAAGGTAAAGCATTCTGTCCTGGTAAATTAAAACCTAGACACTAAAAAAAAGACTGACATGTTTTAAATCACAAAAATATTAAAGCTTTTTCATGACAACCTCCAAGTTTAAAGACAAGCAAGAACCTGAGATAAACTATTTTCAATGTATATAAACAAAAGACTTAAAAACAGATAGTATAAGAAGGTTCTTCATATTATAAAAACTATGAAAACCAAGTAAACAATATATAATGAATATATTCACAGAAAAAATATTAATCACCAGAAGACATGTGAAATATGCTCAAGGTCTTAGTAAATGCAAATTCACATAGTACTTTTTTTACTACATAAAACATGAATTAACATCATTCTCATACATTATAAAGATTTTGAAAGCAACTTGACAGTTATCCAAAATTCTAGTTTTTTAACTTATCCTGAAGTAAATTTGTATATATGCACAAAGATGTATGTACAATAATGTTCAGAATGTATAGAAAAAGGGCAGAATGGTGGTTGCTAAGGAGTAAGTGGAGAGAGGAATGAGAAGTTCTTACTTACTGGGTACATTTTCAGTTTGAAATGAAGGAGAAGTTCTGAAGATGGGTGGTGGTAATGGGTGCACAACAATGTGAATGTACTGAATGGAACTGAACAACTGTACAGTTATAAACGGTTAAATTGGTAAATTGTTACGAACATTTTTTGACAAAGTACTGATCTCAATGTACATATAATTTGTGATATGTACTTTTAAAGGAAAAAATATGTTGCAGAATAATAAAGTATAATTGCACTTATCTTTAAAAGATAAGTTTCTAAGGAGAGACGAAGACATGAATGTTTGTAAATGACAAAGGGCCCTGAAACAGCACACATCAAACTACTAATGGAGGAGGGAAGGGTGACTTCTATTTTGTTTGCATAATTCCACTTCAATCATTACCATCAAACCTTAAAATAGATGGTGTAAAATTCACCTTTGTAATGATAACTTCCTGCTTCTGGCCAAGTCTATGGCATCTGTCAAAGCACTGATCTTCAGCAGCGGGATTCCAGGCCTAACAAGAACATAAATTGCTTTATTATACTTCTGTGGTCTGTGAGTGTTCTGCATCAGTCCCTTCATTTCACTATTATGCATTCATCTTTTCCTGACTAAAAATTTTTGACTGAATTGAGATACTGACAGACTATAAAGGTACCTTTGGAAAAATCCACCTCCCCAATCACTATGGTAGTAAGCAGGCATTCTCCCCATCACTGCCCTCCACTGCTGCTGGTGCCCAAAACGTGGCCTGACACATGCCAGCACCCTATTAAGTACCTGCTGATTTATCCAACAATTTCTGCTTTTCCCTTTATTTTAAAGTGAATCTCTATGTACCTAACGAGGAAAAGGAGCCCAAGGGATCCTCCTGCCTCAGCTTCCCAGAGTGCTAGGATTACAGGCCATAAGCCATAGTGCCCAACCAAGATATAGAGTTCTTTAGAAAGGTAAGTGGTTTTTAAATGAAATCATAAATTGTTGGGATAATGATCATTACATTTTAAATAAAAAAGATCCCTGAAGCCGAAAATGGTATTCTGGGTTAAAGGAACATTATATAGCAAAGTACCAACTGAAAATAGAAACAAAATGGTACATATATACACCCCAGACCCCTACCATCCACAATATTCACCCATAAATGCTTAAGTATGACTGTGATAATAATCATACTGAGGAAATTACCCTTGATTGAGAGAGGGAAAAAATGCCTTGGTAAATGGACATATGCATCAACTAGGCAGCCTTACAAGAATAATAGAATAATAGAATAGAACAGAATAATCAACATTTCTATTCAGTAAAGTTTCTAAATGTTATCAATCTTGAGTTTTAGCCCACAAGCTAAAACCTTAAATCTGTTAATGTACTGAAATAGCACAGTTACCTCTAGCCCACATCATACCCAATGCAAATTAGAGACTAAATTAGTCTAGGGTCCTTCCAGCACAAAGAGCCTCTCAGTGCATTTAGAAGAATGTACTCCTATGGGAACATAACTCCGGGTCACACAGCCTAGTAAATAATGTTCAGAGTGAATTTTAGCTACCATTCTTCTACTAGTCGTGTAATAGTGGACAAATTGTTTACTTTCTCGTGCTAAAGTTTCATCTTGTGTAAAACAGGGTCATTAATGCTTTTTACCTATAGGGATGTGATGATTTCAGATGTTATATGTAAATCATTTAAGAGAAAGCCTTTAATCCACATTTACTAAGTTATTATTACCTATTTTAAAGAATTTTCATAATCATAACTATGAAGGTATTTACCAAATAGTTCTTGGGTTTTACTTTGTTTGTTTGTTCATTTGTTTTTGAGACAGAGTCTCAAGCTATCCCCCTGGGTAGAGTGCTGTCACATCACAACTCACAAAAACCTCAAACTCTTGGGTTTAAGCAATTCCTCTGCCTCAGTCTCCCAAGTAGCTGGGACTATAGAGACCTGCCACAACACCTGGCTATTTTTTATTTTTTTAACTGTAGTTGTCCTTGTTTAGCAGGCCTGGGCTACACTCGAACCTGCCAGCCCCAGTGTATGTGGCCAGTGCCCTACTCACTGAGCTACAGGCACTGCCCTGAGTTTTACTTTTTTAAGTAATAACATTCTAAAATGTCTACAGAACTACTTACTGGATCCATTAAAAACACTCGAGAAGCTGCAGAAAGATTCAAACCAACTCCACCTGCTTTTAAGGACAGAAGCATTATTGTTGGAGATCCTGCTTCAGTGTTTTGGAAACACTGAATTGATTCAACTCTTTTCTTTTGGGCCATGGAACCATCTAAACGAGTAAACACAAATCCAGCAGCTCTGAGGGGGGAGAAGAAAAGAGACAACACTATATTATTAAACAAAAATAATTACAAATCTCTCATTCATTCAACCAATGTTTATGGAACACTTATTAATATGCCAGGCACTGAAGTCAATTTTTTTTCAATAAATTCAGAACTTCATCTTTAAAATATTATGCTGCCAGGAAATATTCTCTATTGTGACTCTGAATATATTTTGGATAGATAAAATAACTAAAATTAGTCAAACAAATAGTTACTTTTCCTGCCATCCAAATCTTTTTACCAAAGCTGAAAAACACGGTTGAACTTACTTCAGTGGTGTTTCTAGTAAAGTCAGGAATGTTGTAAACTGAGACACAACTAAACTTTTTATGTTGGGATTCTTTGTTCTTAAGTCAATCAATGCATGCATTAGAGCATTAATCTGAAAAAAAAGGATACCCATTAGATTCCATTTTCAATTGGTTGATTTAAAGTAAGTCCAAATTTTTTGTTATAAAGAGAAAAGTCCTGTCATGTTATTTCCCTAAATGCAAAAGCAAAAGATTACTAATTAAAAACAAATTAAGATAAGAAAATGCCATGAAGGCTATGTTAACCAGTTTGATGAAAATATTCCAAATTGTATATAAAACCAGCACATTGTACCCCATGATTACATTAATGTACACAGCTATAATAGTAAAAAAATAAAAAATAAAAACAAATTAAGACTGAAAGAATACTACCATAATCTGAACCCATTCTCTTTGAGTTTCTCAAATTCACCAGTAAAAATTAAAAGTAAGTCACCAAAGAATGTAAGATTTAAATGACAGAAATGAAAGCAGAATTATTTTATTAAAAATATATACTTCATTGTATAAATGTAAAACAAATACACAAATATGTGCACGTGTTTATTTTACCTTGGAACTGGATGTCCATTCTGTATTAGCCTTTTTCTCACTGTCACATGCCAGTTCTTCTGGAGGACATTCTAATAAATTGTCAGCATGTATATCATTTCTGCATAAAGGGCATTTAGCATGTGGCTTTATAAGAAAGAACAAACAACACTTATCAGAGAAACAGAAATATATATTTACATAAATTTTTTAAAATGTGTGGTAAATTCTGTATCTCTCATAACTAATATTCTATTAAACTTTTTATTAGGTGCATCCATTTGAGATAAATCTGTATATGCTGAACTCTAGACAGAACAATTTTCTAATGTGGTAAGTGGGATATGTAGAGAGCAAAAGATCTTGTTTAGCTAGCAGCAAAAACTTCAAACACTAAATATTACATCATTTGTAAGAAAGTAAAAACAACATGAACAATAATTTCTTGAACCTAAATATAACATACTATTTAGAACTATTCTTTAAAAAATCCTTCCTAACTGCTTATAAAGCTATTAGCTTATAAAGGTAGCCAAATTTATTAAATCCTATCAGGTTCATTCAAAGCAAGATCTGCTAATAAAATAAGATTGTATCTTAAATACCTAGATACCAAACATCATTCAATAAAAGATTCTGAAACTAAAACTGTCACAAGTCAGTGTAGTGGGTTCCTCTTTGAGAGGAAGGAGAGGGTAAATGATTGGGAAGAGGACAGAAGAGACCTGGAAGGTAGTTATATGGATGTGGTTAGCTCATGATAATTCACTGAGCTATATAATTGTGCATTTTTCTGCATATATATTATATATTAATGAAAAATGTTAAAAAATTCTACCCCAGTTTAAAAGACAGCTTCAAGAATTATTCCACTTCAGGCTTGGCGCCTGTGGCTCAAGTCGCTAAGGTGCCAGCCATGTACACCCAAGGTGGCAGCTTCAAATCCAGCCGGGGCCCGCCAAACAACAATGACAGCTGCAACCAAAAAACAGCTGGGCGTTGTGGCGGGCGCCTGTGGTCCCAGCTACTTGGGAGGC